CACGCTCAAAGTCAGAATCATCGTCGTCCTCATCATCTTCTCCATTGGACTCTGTTTGCATTGGCTCCCCATCAAACATTACTCCTTTCCCCGTTTTTCCACCAGTGCTGGCCCCATCCTGACTTCTGGTGTCTCGCAAGCGGGTGAAGTACTGTACTGCAAAATCCACCAGGTCTGACGGCCTTTGTCGCAGCACCTCCACAGTGTAACCCTGCAGCAGTTCTGTCAACCCCACCGGTATCTCAATACTCATGGCTGTGTGTGGCTCGGTGGCGGTGTTGGCCTTCTATCTACAGAAGGAGAGAAAAGTGTCAGAGTTTGTTTTGGTACACAGCCATTCTTATTCTTCTGGTACAAGGCTGTGGTGTGATTGTGAACTGCCTGCTTGTTAACTTGAAAGACAACCTTTGAGAGAATCTCTTGTGCCTGTACACTGTGTGCTGGTGTGTGACCTGTGGATGTTGAGTGACTGAAAACAGCTTTGAATGACAGCCGGCATGAAGTGGGAGAGCCTGGTGAACAAAAGACCTGACCATCAAGTTTGACACTGCCAGTTCTAAGCAGGGCAGTGTGATGCCCTAACATAAAGCGTTGCTGTGTCACTGAGCGGCCACTTTATCTAAGCTTGAGCCAAGGAACACAGCGTCCCCACGACTGCACAGAGCAGATATGAGCCTCACGTTTTCTATGGGCACCACAGATAACTCATTTCAGTAACATCGCTGCTTGGCATCGTCTCGAAACTGAGCTGTCAACTTGGGTGGGTGGCCGGTCGGCGCTAGCTAGCTAAGCGGCTAATTAGCTAAAACGCATGTCAACCGGCTGATTGTCGGTGCACAGATACGTGAGCTGAGCAATTGGCTGAATTGACTAATCTCACTCAACCTTGGCTGAAGACTAATGGCTGCAGCAAAGGCAGCGCTACTTTCCACCCACCAGGCATTAGCCACCTTAGCCTAGCTAGTGTGCCACCTTTAAGAAAAGCCTTAACCGTTAGCTCGCTGGATAGTCTGACGCACTGGCTGCAGGAGCTAAGCCGCGGATAAAGGGCTTCCATAGCAGGCTGTGCATGACCTGTAAGCCGTGCGGTATGCTAACCTAAGGTCGCTAACAGTGTGTCACTTACGTGCGGTTCTGTCTCCCCGGCTCAACTAGCCAGTCCCCTCCTCGGTGTCTTCCTTGTTGTCCCTTATCTCGCCGCTTCTTTCTAGCCAGTCTCTTTGCCAGTGTAGCGACCGTATCCCTCCACGGAAGACCACTTGTTCAACCTAGAGCCAACAATTTCACGTTAGCGTCGCTGGGCCAACCTGGTTTTTTTTTTCCTTCCTGTCAACCAGCTGTGCAACGATGCTGACTAAGTTGAGAGGGGGGGAAACGCACTCGACTTGACCGCAGCAGCCTCTTACGACGTCCACGCACACGCGTATCGAGGGTGGGACTTGCTGTGGCTGTAGGGGGAAGCAGGCTAGCTCTCGGGCTAACTGGCCGACCTGCTCAGGGCTTCTTACCGGCTGCCTGGCGACTCTCCTCGGGACACGAGTAAATCCAGCAGCTGCTGCCAAGCGACAAACCCTGAACTCGGCGGTCACAGCGCTGCGCCACGACGCCGGTAGGTGCGACGTGGAGTTGCCGACTGACGCGTCTTGTGAGGCTCTTCCAGCGGCGGTTTTAACGCGGTGAGCCCGTGAGGAGCGATGAGGAGACGCGCTTCCTCCTCCAGACACACAACAGCTTTACTGCTAATTCACCGCTGGCACTGGCGAGGCGAGGAGGCGCGTCCGGGGAGCACACAGCGCTTGACAGTGATTGACGGGGAAGCGCGGCCAAGCAGAGCTAGAGGTCGAGAATGTCTCAGCCAATCGGGTCCGGTCATGCAGGTGGAGGCGGGAACGAAGGCAGAACCTTATTAGTCCAGCCAGAGAAGAACCACACCCACAGAAGTGTCAGTGTGATGGAGATCTGTTGAAACCTCTTTATATACAGTCTGTGGTTGAGACAGGCAAATTCAAATGATATTATAAAAGATAAGAGGTCCGGCCAACATGGCTGTCTGTGTTTATTGTTTTTAAAATATGTGTTTAGAATTAATATCGTATAAATTCTGTTCACAATGTGTATCTTTTCATTACATTTGACATATTATCTCTATTCTAATTTCTATTTATGTTTCCCTGCGTTTATACTGCATGTTTCTTCATTATTACTTTTACTGATGCCTATTTTTGACACTCATCTTTGCTGCTGCAGCACAGCAAATGCCCCCACTGTGAGACTAATAAAGGATTATCTAACCTTATGCTATGTTTACACTATGTGCTGCAATTGGTGGAGTTTCGCCTTCAAAACAAAAACTATTCAACTGAATATTTTCATAACATCGCACACCTTTGTACAGCTGCAGCTCTTCAACAGGAGGCCTCTTTCGTAACACCTAAAATCTCTCTGGTATTTTCTTCTGGCCCATTTCCCTTCCTTCCTCTCTCCTTTCACTTTCTCACTCTCTTCCCTAACCCAGCATTCTTCCAACCTTCCGTCATTCAGTCCTTCCTTCCTTCCTGACAGTCAGATCTCTTCACACGGTCGTTAAGATAAGACAGATGGCTCATCCTTTGAATATCAAATCTTTCCTGAATCATGTTTCATCTAAGGTCGTTTTTTCCTGTCCGTTTTAGCTCATACAGTGTCAGTGCGTTGTGACAAATGGTTCTTGTGTCCCCCTCCATCTTCCTGCTCTTGTTCACATTCACCCAAGTTGACATTCACATTCACAAATCCAGGCCCACAATCAGCTCTCCTCTGCAGAAAAGATCCAGCTGAAGTGTGACAGGCTCACCCAGGGTGGATCTATATGTGCCTAGTCTGATAGTTTGCTAAGCACCTCCACAGTCCACGTAGCATCTTCTTTCTTCCATTTCCATTCCTCAGCTGTCACAGAGGTAAAGCCGTTGCCATGGCCACAGGGAGCCCAGATTTAATTCCTTGAACCCGCCTCTGATTGGCCTAAGTCTTTCAATACAACAAACACAAACCCAGCCTACAGGCTCCCTCTGCAGGAGGAATAAAGTTTAGACATAAAGCACATCATTGGTATGATATTTCTGAATCTCACTGTTCGTCCTCATCATAAATAATCACTGCTGTATGTACTGTATTGTAATCAGCGTGCAGCAAGACTGTGTAACCCCCATGGGAGGAATTTCCCACTGGGTCCTTGGCAACATGAACAAGTGTTTGACCCTCACTGAACGTGACAGATGAATATTCACATGTGCAGTCAGAACTTTGGTCTTTCCTTATCCCTGAAGTGCCATCCTATGGGAGTCGCTGCTAATGTGTTTCCAGCAAATGCCAAAAATGTCTCAAAGAGGGCCGCTGTAGCCTACATTCTCAGAGAGAAGGGAGGAGACAGAGGACAGAGGAAGCACAGCCAAAGATAGATAGACAGAGAGTCAGTGAAAATGTGTGCACTGTCTGTGGATGGACGTATTACTAATCCTCATTACCAGAATCATCTATCTCATTTCTGAAACCTGCAGAGGTTAATCAATAATACTTTGTTTTTGAATTTGGAGACAACGTGTAAGTTTCTTTATTACAGTTTTGCAGCATAACTTTTAGAATATGTCAGGTAATCAAGGAGTACATTTCTTTTGTAGTGTTTTTAATAATTAATGAGTTAATGAGGCCATTCAAGGATTTGTTGAATGTGAATAAATATCTAATATAGGGTCAATATATGTTTTGAGATCAATAGTCCAGGTTACCTTCATTACTTTTTTTTCATATTTTAAAAGAAAATGACCATATTTATGCTTATTTGAAGATTTGATTGAACTCAGGTTTTTGCGAGGATTAGCCATATGTACTGTGCATGTTTTATCATCTGTCCTCTCCACACATCTCCATCTTGGACTGATGATAGACTTTGTTTAGTCACTGATTGTGTTGGTTTAGGATGACCAAGAGAAGGATGAGAGGAGAGCGATTTATCAAAAGAAAACAGTAATGATGAGAACTGTATTATAGCAGTAGCGAGGGTTGTCTGGCATATAAACCTTGTTGCATTTCATCCTTACTCTACTCTCCAATTCTCCAGGGATTCAAAATACCAGCAATGTCTCTGCTGCCTAATTCCTTTTCCTTATTTGAATTAGAATTTTTTCAACTGTTCAGATTGAGAAACATGATCAGTAATGGAGGAAGACATTACTGAAGATAAATACAGTAGATCATGGGTTTGATTACAATACAGTACACATTACAATGGTTTAGTGGTAATATTCGATCACAGTAGGACCTCAGTGATTGGACGAAGGTAAAATCAGGGCAAATTTGTGCATGAGATGAAAAAAGTTTGAGCCCAAAAAACCAAGAATGCCAAATAAATTTTAAATCCTTTGGTTCATTCATGCTTTTCCTCTGTATGCCTGGATCAGCATTAAAAGCATTCAGATGTCATCAATGAATTCTGTGATACAATACCACCATCTACTGGCTGATACATTTTAAATACCACTATAAACAAGCTCATCCTCTGATGAATCGAATCATCGGATGTTTTCCTGAATGTTGTCTCAGTTGTGTTTATGAAACATGATAAAAACCAGGTCGACCAAGTCCAGAAAGTCTTGGCTTCATTGCAGTTAACCCCCGAAAACCCTCAGAAAAATAAATGATATAGAAAACGAATGAATGGATAGGTGATTTGCATCCAATGATGGTAAAAAGTATGCCAGTCAGATTTCCTATAATTGATGATATAATAATTCTTATATATTATAACGATCCATTATCCCCTGGGAAATAAGTGAAAATGTTGAAAAAAAAAAAAATTATATATTAATATTCCTGAATCTGCTCCCTGATTCTGATCAGGAATTCAACAAGTCTCAAAATCCGTTAAGTCATCTTTTGCATAATCATGCTAACAAACAAACATACAAACCAAACAACATAATGAAGAGCAGATGTGAAATAATACCAGACAAGCTACACCGTTAAACAGTCTTAAAGTTTATTCTGTCAGGGAGTATGAACATTCTAGTAACAAGCAGTTTGGCCGTCAGTGATTGAGATATCTCCATTATTACATTAGACTATATACATCTTATATACAATGTTTTTTCCACTTGAATGAAACTGTCCAACGCTGCTACTCAACTGATTTTGCACTGTTGAGGTTGAGTAGCAGCGCTGGACCCTTCAAATCAAGTGTCATCCAGTACAACAGCAATAAATCAAACAACACATTACTTTATAAGGAAGACTCAAGAATGTGATGCAACATGATCTTACTACGGTCCGTAATGTGCTGCCTGAAAACACCAACTCCCATCTCATGAGTAATGCTGCTGGATGTTGTTATTATTCCTCAGCACTTTTTACTCCATCACATTTATACTGTATGACTTGCTGGGATGAGCATTGCTATATTCTTGACAGTTCACACTTGATCTTCCGAGGTTTTACATCACATAACTAAGTTTTCCTCCACAGCCGATTGCCTTTCCATATCTCCCATATAATTAAGATATAGATCTTTACCAGTAAGTATGAATATGTTATTGTTTATTCATGAACAGTGTGGAACAGATTAAATACACAGTGGGAGTGAGAACAAACAAAATGTTAAAGCTTGTCTCCAGATCTTCCAACTGTGAACTGCTATGTCACTTTATAGTTTTTGCTTAACTACAGCCTCCACTTTGTGTTTTAAAATATTATTTTACATGATGATTTCAGTTATTTTCTGAACATTGCTGGATTGACTTAGGAACTTTGAAATGCATTGCCCCACCCTGCTTCCCCTTTACAAAAGCCTCCCAGCAAAAACATGTACAAATAAGGACAAGGAGAAGGAATGCAAACATTCCATACAAAACAGTAACAGTGATGGACTCATAAACCCCATATCTGGCATGTGTTGTTCTCTGCTGGAAATCAATGACAGAGAACAGGCACGTTCCACATGTTATTTAGTCATCGTGCCATTAAAGTAACCACAGCAGAGACAGAGTGTCGTCTTTTGTGTTCTACTGCGTTTGTAGATACTGTGGGCGTCTAAATGCAGATTAACAACTGTTTTGATTTGTGTCAATTCCTGAAAGATTCAGAAACAGTTTATGACCTAAATCTGCTTAGACTCCTGATTGGACAGAAACGTGGACAGAGAGCAACAGACAGACATGAAGAAGAGGTCCAAGCAGATGGACGCAATTGCTCAACCAGAAACAGAGACAGATATAACAACAGTCAGAAAACCAGATGCTCAGATACACATTCGTCATCGTAATAAGGCACAAAAGACACTGGACCACAATCCAAAAATAGATCAACACACAATACATGTTCTCATAAAATGTGGAATTCTTAAGGAAATATATCTGAGGTTTTATTTCTAATAAACAAGCTGCTCTTGGGTGAAAACCTGATATCGGCAGTTACGTCTTTAAACATACTTTATTCTGACCAAACTGATTTTGTCATGAGGCAGTTTTAACAGGAGCTCAAATGGAAATGACTGTCAGTCATATTATAGTGAAGGCATTGTGGAAGAATTTCCCCAAATAAATATGAGTTGTTCAAAGATAAAATAATTTTAATATCAGTTGATTTTGACTTTCATCCTTCTCTGACAAACTCCGACGAGACATGTTTCATCACGACGGTAACTTAAAACACACAGTGGTAAAATACTCTTCTATGCAAAACCAGAAACACTGTCATTCATTTTTCAATCTTACATGCATACAATCCTGAACCTGCCTCTTCCTCAGAAAGTGTTATGAATCTTTCATGTGGTTGAGCAACAACAGTAACAATTACATGTATCTGCTTTATGGTATAAAAAAGTGCCTTTGTAGCCTATATACTTCAAATGAATTCCTTTAAATACTCTAAACAACGTAAATAAAACATATTTCCATCAAGTGTTTTTTGCAGTGCGATGCTATTATACAGTGTATTACAATTATGTTCATTAATCAAGCAGTTCAGTAACTACAAATTAATCTAATTTGCTAATGATGTTAATTGAAGAAAACAGCATGAATTGAATTTGGTCTTATTCCAAAATGCAATATCAAAGCAGGTTTTCAGTGTATGAAATGATTACACTTTAACAGCTTGGATCCCTGTATTTTACAGATATCAAGTAGGAGCTACTTGATTAGGTCCTCAGGTGATTCATTTTTTCATTGTTTATAGCATTTTGGAGAAAAAACCTTCAATTCTTTTCGACTTCAATCATGCAAACTATGCAATGATCCTTCCCAGTGCACTTTAATCTCTGGCCTGTGGCCTTTAGTTCGTCAACATATATAACAGCTTTTTATTTAGAAACAGTCATAAAGTCAAGATTAAAAAAAACAACCAAACCGAAAGGACAAATAAGTTTCACTCAATTAGAAAAGACCAATTCGATTCTATGGTTTCCTGCCCTCATTATTATCTTTTTTACTAAATATAGAAGCTCTGTTCTGGATAAAAAAAGAATATATATACCGAAAGAGCACTGCGTCTGTACACGGCTACCTGTCAGCATAGCAAACCTGCATACAAATCATGCTTGTGTAGATATACATGCTGGGAGAAGAGGATATTGGCATGGATATGGGAGGTTTACATGGCTTTACAACACATGAGGATTGATGCACCCCATAAGGACTAAATTAAATACTGTGAAAAAAAAGAGAGAGGGGGGATCCTGAATTTCACTCACAGACTTCCTCCACCGCTTGGGCAAAAAAAGAATGAAAAATTAGGGCCTCAAAAGCTCAAACACAATTTTTTTTGCTTCACTGGAAATTAGGGCTGGACAATGAAATAATATCAATAATAATCAAAATAATTTTCTTCAATAGCAATATAATAAAAGTACATTGTTATTCTCTGAAATAAAGAAGAGTTTAAAACCTTCATTCAAAAGCAAAAATTACTCTTTAAACTTAAAAGAAAGAAATATGTGATAATTACGATATTGACAAATTTTTATCGTGATATAATTTTTGGCCACATCGCCAGCCCTATTGAGATCATGTGTTTTCAGCTCAAACAGCAGACCAGTCTAATTTGAATTCAGGGAGTGTGTGTGTGTGTGTATGTGTGTGTGTGTGTGTGTGTGTGTGTGTGTGTGTGTGTGTGTGTGCACTTCTTATTGCCCACTGTGAGCTGATGATGTTAATTGTTTGCTCTCTTATCTCCATGCTCACACAAAAGGGAATCCTCAGAGCAGCGAATGGACAACCAGCCCTGAAAGAGCAGCAACGTGCGCACCATTAACAAAAACAAGGTTTTCAAAGGTTAATTTTACTGGGGGAGAAAAATAAGATAAAAGCTGCTACCATGGTTACTGACAGCCCTCTTCCCATCTTTCTCTCTCTCTCTGCTCTCACTCCATCTCTGTCCACCCCCATAGCTCACCACAGCGGTAATATGCACTTGTGTAGTCTGACAGGTATGGCTTTTGAAATGTACTGTTTCTATAGGCCCCTGCCAGGTTAGATGCACTGCACTGATGCGGTGCAGCAGGGGTGCTATTAGGAATATGAATACAACTGGGACTGTGTCTCCTTTGTGTGTGTCTCATGCCTGCTGCAGCTCAATCAGGAGCAGATTGTGTTTGAAGTGGCTGTGATTCCTACTGGGATTGAGTACCTCATCGCATCTCTACATCTCTGCACTGCACCGATGGCATTGAGACCTGATATTTACTCTGTCAAAATGTCTTAGAATGTCCTGAAAAACTGTGTCTATGATTTATTTTATTTATCTTGTTATCCATATTTCTTATTTGATGCATTATGTATCCCATAAAGCACCCTAGTTTGCATTTTTGTAGGAACTGTATATTTTAAACATATTTGTCTCTGCTTAATTTCCCTACTGATCAATCTCAAAATCAGTGAATTCAATGATTTCACTCAATTGACCCAAATTATTGGTGTCACTCTTGCATTCAGACTCGAAAATGTTGGCTTATTTCTTTCTTTAGCCAAATCTCTGGCAGATTAAGCGATGTGACTGCTGTTAAATGAATGAGAGCTCATTTCCAAAAGAACCATAAGACAATTATTACCATAAGACAAAAATAAATTTGTTGTTATTCTGCTAATTGACCACTAGAGGCAGTGTGGGTCGCTGACAGTAAAACATGATTGAATCTGTGGTAGAACAAGGGGCTCTGTGATGGACAGAACAAAGAGAACTGCTCCAACCCACTGAAGAAAAGAAGTGACCGGAGGAGGTCAAACTGGGAGACACAGAGAAATAGAGAAGAGACAGAGAGAGACAGAACGATAGAAGGAAAGACATTTATCTCACTCTATCAGTCTTACAGTGATCACCGTGGTTACTAAAAAATTCTACCCCTCTGCCGGTCTGCTGCCGTGGTAACGCGTGGGTAACGGTCACCGTGGATACTGCGCTGTGCCTCCCCTACACTCCCTGCATGAGTCCCTTTGAACTCTCAGTGACAAAAAAACAAAACAGGAGGGACACAGTCGATCACTAAATGTATTTTCTATAGGACATGTACAAACAGAAACACTAACATGGTGAATTGCCATAAAGTTGTTTAATCCTTATGTTCGATGTCGGCAGTGGACGAACTTTGAAACCCCTGCTCCTGAATGGTTCTCAGGCTTGATGAGTGGGTACAGGTAGCACATGTAGCAATACCTGCTAATTACAGTCTTGCTGACAATATACAACGATGAACTCAGTGTGAGTCTGTGTAGCTTCTAATTAACAGCTACCACAGATCTAGAATGCAATGATATTATTGCTGTGGTTTTGTTGGAAACCTCTTAGAAGCCTGGGTTGAATTAGCCCCTCACTGCAGGTGAGGTCTAGAGCTGTTAAACATGTGCGGAACTGTATGCTGAATTTTAGAAATACTGAGGTCAAAGGTCCAACGTAACCCAAAACTAAGCCAATATGTTGACTCAAATTAGTCGTATTTCATTATAATGTGAGTTTAATGATTACTGAAATCAGTCTTTAAAGTAGACAACATCTCTGCATTTTTAAATTCTAATTCTCAGTAAAAACACATCAGTGTCCTCAGTGGCAGCAGTGGCCCTGTATCTGTTCTTTAACCTGATTATCTCACACATATGGACTCCATACCAAATTTCTGTTGTGTGTAGGTGCAGTCCTCAAAGGTATTTTTGAAGCCAAGAATTTCTAGTCCCTCCTCATCTGAAAGCTACTCTGTTGAACATCCTGTTTCCCAAAAAGAGAAAGATGACTAAGTCATTGTTCTGAGGCTGGATCCCCACTGTGCTCGGCCATCCCAGAAATCACGCAGCCATATAACTTGAAAGTGGATTGATTAAATGGCAGATGCTATGTGAGCGAAGGAGATCTACCCTTGTCCTCATCACCAGATCAATGTGTCCCTCTCGTTTCCCAGCTGTTCTCCAGTCTGCGGCCTGAGTTTAACAACGTCACGGTTTCAAAGAGCGACTCTTAAAAGAGAAGTGAGTGATTGACAATGAAGGTCAAAGGTCACAGAGAGGAAAGAACTTTTGACCTACTGACCCATATCTCTCCCTGTAACTCCCACCTGCAGAGACCAGGCCGACAAAACAGATTCACCTGTCCCTCTGCATTCCCCGGAAATACACTCACCAAGAAATATTAGTCAACATAAGAAAATATAAAGAGGAGGATTGTATCCATTGGTCACGCAGGCAAAAAAACAGAGGCTGGTGAAGATAGTTCTCCTTTAAACTACAATAACAAAACGAATATGGATGGTAAAAATGTGCAAGAGATCACTGGTGCTTACAGAATAAGTTTTCATGTGACTCTATAAGAATTGCACGTGTCAAAAAAGCAGCAGAGGAGGAGGGGGCAGAGGAGATGGAGGAGATGGGCTCATGCAGAGGAGAGTAAAGTGAGAGATTGATCGACAGTTTCTCCTGAGACGCCAAATCTAATGCACTGATATTGTCTATTACACAACTACTGACACTGTGAAGACAGTGAAGCAGCAGGAGGAGCTTTTTATGAACTAATAAACCTGCACTGAACCCACAGTAAGTCCTCTAGCTGATCCTGAACTCCTGTCTGTGAGTGGAGGGTGAACTAAAAGGAAATGCCCCGTGCAGATCACTGACATATCACGTTGCTAATTTAAAAAAAATCTGTCCTGCTCGTAGACGGAGACTTCGTTATTGCACTTTGAACTACAGCTTAAACTTTACATGTCTTGAGTTGCACTTGGGAATGGTCTGATGCAGATGAAATAAATAGATGAGTGTAGGATTTACTGACAACTGCTGCTCAGTATCTACAAAAAGAATGTTTCTGACCCCATCACCTGATTTAAATGAGTGGGCTGTTTGACAGGGGCTGTATTCTTTTTTTGTAAAAGAAAGTGAACATCTGTCTTGGGACGAGGCGGGCTGGTGCGTTGGAGCGCTGGGTTGGACAAGCTACAAGTTTACGAGGCGGGGAGGCGCTCCGTGATCCAGCTGGTCACCTCCTTCAGCACGGACTCGGCCACCTCTGGGAGGTCGTGGTGAAGGGCGTGGAAGCCTCCCTCATAGACCTGGAGAGACATTAAGAGGCAATAAGAGAGAGGCAGAGGAAAGAGTGGAAACAAGTAGGAAGCTGTCCAGGTTGTTGGGAGTCAAAGTTGACTTGTATTCATCATCCTAAGCTAAAGGAACACGGAAATACTACAAATCAAATCAAACAGAAAACAAAAACCTTTTTATTCGATTAACAAATCCTGATTCTCTTTGTTCTGATTTGGAAAGCCCCAGACATTTGACTCCAATCTCTTTCTTTGCTTTTCTTTGGCTCATGATGCAGCAGGAGAAAAGAAGAACGGCCTTCTCTCGTTTCACTTCTCTCACCTCTCGTGTTTTTGGACCCCATGTGATCGACCATGTGAAAATAGTGTGTTAACTTCCTTCTTTGCAAATAAGTATCTGTCTACAGATGAGGGAGACTTTATAGAGGTTTATCAGTGTTTCTCAGTGAACAGGCCTCATTTGTGAAGTGAATGTTTTGGCGGGAGGGTTTTATTCTATCTTGCAGTAATCAACGACTGAAACACATCTAAACATCAACAGCCAAAATATTATTTTGGTCACTGATCTACTGTATTGCCAGGAAGATGTAGTATTAACCCTAACCCTTACTACAGTGTCATCAGGTGATGGGAACATTTTCAAGCTACTAGAAGTTAGTTTCGGTTTCAGTCAACCACAAAAGCAACTTTTTGTAACCTTTAAATGGAGCAACTTCCTGAACAATCAACTCATGTTCCGTACTGTTTTAACATTGCGTGTAACAAGTGGAGACGAAAAGGAAACAGTGTGAACTAAATGATGCAACATCTGTTAAAAGGTCAGGTTGGTTAGTTGTTTCTGAAACCGATTTTTATCTTATTAGTTGAAATCACACCTCAATAGCCATCAATTCATTTTAAAATGAACAAAAGGCAATGTCTGCCGCTTTCGCAGGACTGCAATAAACACAACCAAGATCAATTCAGTCTTTTAAATGTCTGTAGAAATTTTAATATCTAAATTAAATCCCCACCTTGATTTTCTTGTCTGAGCTCGGAGCGTTGTCGTACATCATGTTAGAGCCTCTGATGTCGCAGAGCTTGTCAGTGTCACCGTGCAGGAGCAGGAAGGGCCAGTCGATGGACGGGATCTCCCTCTCAATGCGAGCCGCGGCGCCCATCAGCTGCATGCCGAACGACACCCGCATCCCGCCGTGGTAGTTCAGCTCATCGGCATCATACGCCTCCACCTGTGGTAGGAGATGAACCGCCGTAAAAGTTATGGGGAAAAGTAGATGATACTTTTTTGAGCTAACGGAAAACAGTTTGGAACATTTTCAAATGAACAGGACAAAAACTGTCTAAGAGGTCGACAAATTCCATATCACTGAAATTTGTGGAAACATTTCTTCTTGTGCATTTCTTTTATTTCTGTCTGAATGTAACGAAAGCAACTACATTGTTTTTGGGTATTTACAAAGTGTTTTTTTTAAATGCCTGTATTTTAACCTCTGCCAAAAAGGTAAAGCTTTCGCCCCTGTCTGTTGGTTTAGGGCATTTTTCAACATTTTCACAGTCGTTTTCCTTCTCTCATTTCACTTCACTCACCTCGTGTTTTTGGACCCCATGTGATTGACCATGTGAAAATAGAAGGGTGTGTACTTCCTTCTTTGTAAATAAGTATCCGTCTTCAGATAAGAGACTTTATAGAGGTTTATCAGTGTGTTTCTCAATGAACAGGCCTCATTTGTGAAGTGAATGTTTTGGCTGGAGGGTTTTATTCTATTTTGCAGTCGTCAATGACTGAAACCTATGTCGCACATCTAAACGTCAACAGCCAACATGCATTTTTCAACATTTTCACAGTCATTTTCTCAGAGAATAAATCATGGATGTTGATGAAAAAACAGGCAAATTTAGAGAACTGACATGTGTGAGTGTGTGAAATTTGGAGCAGCTTTGTTGAATTTAAGGGGACTGTGTGGCTTTGGCAGAGGAATGCGCTCTATTGAATGCAATTCAAAAAGGAGAGGGTTGTTTCATCACAGAAAAGAGGTGAGAATAAGAGGAATCCTGGGAAAACCATGAGAGTTGGCAGATGTGAGTCTGGTTAATGAATGGCTGAGGGCCCCTAGATGTAATGGGAAATAAAAATGAAAGTGAAATAAAGATGTGTTTAGATGTGACACTGAAAGGAGCAGGAGGACCTGATGAAAAGAAAGTTTACAGTGGTGTAAATCATGAGCTGCAGAGAATAGGACACACCCCATTCCTTTGACATGAATTTGAACTTTCATAAACACTCTCACACTTCCGCCTACATCCATTCATGTTGTACGTAAACACAGTGGATGATCCTCTTCAACAGAAACAGTGTCACTTTGAATAATGAATGACTGAGACCTGAGCTGTAACACAGCACAACCTGTTTTGCGGCTCAGAGGAGACGGTGAGACCCAGAAAAACCGTCTGCAAGGTGAAAGATTTCCTCCCCAACCGTTGAGTCAAGTATAAGTCCAGCTTTACTTTGGTCAAACCCTGTTGCATGTCATCCTTTTTACCTACAATGACTTGTATCCTATCAAATGAATCCATTTTGTGTATTATTGTACCTGGGAGAAGTAATGGCATCATTTCCTTCAACACACTTTAGGCAGCTGGATGTGTGATCCCATTGTTACAGTGTTTAAGTTATTGCTAAAGTAAGTTCACACACAATCACAACGGTACAAAAAGCACACAACATGTTTCCAGACACAAACATGCAGTTATACAAAAAATGTTGGTGCACGACACAGCCAAATACACAATGAATACATAGCAACTACACCTGTTTCTCTAATTATAAGTAACACAATACAACGCCCTCCCCACAGACACACACACACACACGAAGTTGGCCAGAGAACAAATCCCTTGAGGTCTGGAAAGCATTCAAAGTATCTGTCACAGGATGGACTCTCCTCCAGGGACTCATCAAGAAAAGTTGTTGCATGACTTCACAAACACAAATAAGATACATGAGACCTTGTAAATTCTATTTGCTGGGACCGCCATACCAGACACTTCAATTACAGACAACAATACAGCTCAGCCACCTGAACGCACACACGCACCAACAATTGTCTCTCACCTTCGTCTTGTCCCGTGAGATCCATTTAGAATCGAGGGTGCCCAGCGCCAGGCTGGGAAGCAAGTGGTTCAGAACCTTTGCCAGAAAAACCTGTAAACAGCAAAAACACAAAACATTTTAGTTTCTCTTTACTTATCAGCACCTCTCAGAAGAATGTTTCTATTGCTGCTTTCAGACATGCACTGAAGTCTGGACATTTTCCTGAAATCATCCAGAGGTGCTGTACGTGAGAATGTAGATGTTGGAGTTAGTTGCTTCAGACATTTTCTGGAACTTGTCCTGCCAGCCCCAAGTAAAATGATGTTTCTCACACACAAAAAAGAAAATGTCCTGGCATGAAAAAGAGGTGCCAGACACCAACAAAGAAGTCAACTTGAAAAGACAATTAGATTCCAGAAAAAAGACAAAGACTGACGTCGTTGTCGACAAATGTGTGGGCTGTTTGACAAAAAGAACGTGATTTCTGTAGTGGGATTTAAACATCACGTCCTGCTTCTGGCATACTCTACCCACGTGCCACATGTTGTGCCACTACACACTGGTTCCAGACATTTGCCTGTGAACACTGCGTTCTTTATATGTGAAAGGCAAATTGTGGAAAATGTCTGCACCCATTTCTCAGGACATTTTCCGGAATTCATGTCTGAAAACAGCTTGCTCTAGTGTTACAAATAGATAGTTATGCCATCTCACAACCAGTGTTTGGCCTTGAAAGTCTGACACAGTGTGTCTCTCTTGATTCTTGCCATAGAAAGCATACAAAACAAAAGCTGAAGGCCTGGGTGGAGTAAGATGACTGACTCCTGGTATAGTTAGGAAGGAGAGAGGAGAGGAACAGAATTATGTGATACCTTGAAGGGTGTGGCTGAGTCTGGGTTCATCTGGACCATCGGCGCTATCAAAGCCACTCCAGCAAAATCGTGGGGCCTCTCGCAGGCTGTCAGGATAGAGATAGCACCACCCTGGTGGGGGGGGGGGGGCACACAGAAGATAGTATGTTTTGTTAGTACACTGGGCATTGATCAGAAGGTTGTGTTTCAGTAATTTGAAATAACTGTTGCATGTTAAGTCGACTAGTTTACTGGTTTTCAGTGCAGGAGTCTTGAGTTAAGGTGTAAACCAGGTGTTTGGATGGAAACAAAGAAACAATACATGGATCCAGGTGAGAGGCAGCTGCTGAGTTTACAAAACACACAGAAAAATCTCCATTTCCACATTCCATCTGTGATCATGTGCTGCAAAAAAGTTCATTCATATCAGAATTAAGGTTTACACCTAGTGAATGAACAGTGTGAGAAAAGGCTGAGCATATAGTGGCGTTGGATGATCAGGCTTGTGCAATCAGTTCAGATAGCAATATAAGACTATATGAATTATAGGAATAATAATAACTGTTGGGATTTGTTCATGTTCCAATAAACAGGTGTCCATATCCCCTGGCCCTGGTAACAACAGAGTCATGTGATCTGATTGGTTTGTTGTGTAAAGGAGAATTGCAAATACATTTAGTTCCATGTTATAACATGTGAAAGCCTCTCATTAGTTAGCAGGATTATGCAAAAACTACTGGACAGCTTACCATGCAACTTGGTTAAAGGATGTGTTATGGGTCAGGAAAGAACCCATTACATTTTGATGTATCTGGATCCAGGATCTGGATCCAGGAATTGTTTTCATTTTCTTTAACATTGTGAGATATTTATTGATTTCTCATAGAACAATTAATGGATCATGAAGAAAAAATGTTTAGGGGATTCATATTTTTGAATGTTCCAAAAACTAATCAGGTGCATCATAAATTGAAATGAGGTTTCATAAAGGGGATTGTTGGGCCTTGGCAAAGGTCCACTCTAGTTGATGACTGATCAATTACATATAATTTAAATTAGGTGACACTTAGAAGAGCAGCTTGAAATGAGGACATTTCTTTGACTTTTTACATCTTTGAAGCTTAAAGTGGAAAACTGTTTTCCGCTGAGTGGTAGAGTTTTTAAATATAAAATAAAAACTAAAACAGCTTTAAGGGTGTCAGGGTTTCTGTGAGGGAAAATTGATTGAACAGAAGACAGGGAGAGCTTTCTCTCCTATAACTTGAGTGGTCTTAGCAAAGTAGGTGAAAGGTCCTGATGCAAGGCACAGTGGGAAAACTACTCAGGGGTCAAGACAAACATAAAACAATCTGTCTTTTGTTTAGATGGGGCCCAAGTTCCCACCCTCTTCCTTTGTCACTGTCGCTCTACAGGGACTGCGAGAGAAACGTGAAAAGTGACTACACGGCTCTCGGGGGGCAGCGTGTCCTGAATAGCTGCAACGAGCAGCGGCGCCAAGGCCACACCTTGGCACCCGTGGCGACATTTGTGATTGTGATTTAATTCCCATGATGTAAGGCCATGATGATTAGCTGCACTGTGACGGCCAGGACGTAAATCAATTTGCCACGGTTAACTCAGATGTGGTTTCTCTTCCCGTCCTGCAAGTGTCTGTGCAGGTGCAAACACGAACACACAAACACACAAACACACACACACACACACACACACATACACACACAAGCTTATTCTGCATGGGTAAATCTCTCCCTCTAACTCTCCTTTTCTGGAAACTAATTGGCTACCACGTTGCTTATGTGAGCTTTCTTTGTCACTTGTATGAATATTCATTAGGCTGGGGCCAATGGCAGGTTGGTGCATGAAAAAAGCCACAAAGCAGAGAAACACAAACATTTCCCACAAGAAAAATCTCACTGTCTAAAGACATAAGAACTTCCACACAGCTGCTTGCATACACAAACATAGGTACACAGATTTGGAAAAGGTTGCTAGATCGATTCCAACTCATTCTGCAAGTTTAAGGACGAGGTGACCCTGAAACAAACACGTGTTAACACTGTGACACAAGCACTCACTGAAATGTTGCTGGCAATTTATTTTGGGTGATGTAAGCTGGTCAAACTGGTTGGTCGCTTTAACGGATTTGATTCCTGGTTAAATATAGCAGGATGACTGAGTGTTATATGGTGCAAAAGCCCATTGTGGGTCACACACATTACACAGAGTGGTTTTGTGGAATGACAGCGAGAGATAAGCGTGAATTGTGAAGAGAGCAGAGTGTTGAGACAGAAGGAGGATTGGAACAGAGAAGCTCTTTACTGAGCTCATTAGAGGCCTTCTTACACTCTGTCTCTCTGAACTTAGCTTGAGAGGATGAATGCTGGCATTGTATGCTGCAGGGCAGACTTTAACTGTCACACACTGCCCCAGGAGCTAAAATACTGACATTGTATGCAGCTATGGCTCAATGTCTGTACATTAAATACATTAAAAATAGGTTCATCTCGAAATGAAACCATGAGCGACGTTTAGAGGGAAAAATCACTGGAGTTCAAAGACAGTTGAAACGTGTGGTTGGGAAAAGGTTGGGAACTCTGACAGCTTGTTGGATTATCAGCTGAGTCACACAAAAGTAACTGGGACAGCATTCGGGAGGCCCAACAGTCCCCTTATTAAACCACATTTAAATTGACTGGATCCAGATTTATTTGGATTTGCCCCAAATTATACACACTCATAAATATCAGTGCCCTAAACATGCCTAATTATTACTATTTTTTCTTTAAGATACATGAGTTATTCTCCATGCAAATGTCCTTTCTTGCCTTGTCAAAGAAAGTGAAAAAGTAAGCTTAGATCCGCAAAGAAATTTAATGGGGACTATCGAGGATCCACTGCTGCTAACTAACTATCAAAGATACACATTACCTCCTTCAAATATATGTGGTGAAATAGAAAGTACAATATTTCCTCTAGTGGAATAGTTTAAATATTAAAAATGTACAGAGGATTGTGAGTAATATAAAATGGAGATTAGCATGTAAAGTACACGAACCTCTAACTTTTACTTTTAAAACATGTTTAAAACATGAGTAAATTTACTTAGTTAAAAAGTAAGATGGCTATATCTGACCCAAAACCTCAGCAGAGCCAACTACATGCAAAAATACATGTAGTTGCAATACATACATGCAATAATACTTTACACATTTCATGACTACTCCACTTTCTGTATAAACTAAGTCAGGTTCACCAGTGCAGTTAATGTTGAAAGCTGGTCTGGGGACTTGCTAGGATATGATTATTACATGAACTGGGCTACTTTTAAATGGCTCATATATAAACATTATAGAGAGCAAACAGGTGTTAATAGACATTATATGGGCTAAGTAGTTTAATAATCATCATAGTTTAAATCAAAGTGAAGTGTGGTTTAGAGCAAAATGAAACTGAATGAGGAATAGATACGGAGAGAGAGATGGTTAAAAAGCGGAAAAAGGCTAAATAACCATTACATGAAACTCTGGCACTGAGCGAGTAGGAAAAATAAGCCTTGACCAGAAATTCACATGAAGTAGGAGAGAAATGAGGAAAAGTGGGAAGGAGCCAGAGCTGGAGGCTTTTGTCTGCATTCCCATGAGCTGATACAACACTGTCCTACTTCCCCCAAAACTGTTGAATGATAGAAGATGCAGAGACAACTGTGAGACAGTGTGGTCCAACACAGACGATACCAGTTTATAACTAGTTTATTTGTCAGTGATAATTAGTTTTGCATCTCTACTTCCTTAGATGTTTTAGACAAATGTGAGTCGGCCCTTGTGGGTCCTGTTGTCTTTCCAAGTTGACATCTTCGTCTGTCTTCTACATGTATGCCACCTCTTTTTTATCCTCGGATATTTGTACTCCTCTTGTTTTTTTCCATTTTGCATCTGTCTTGTGTTAGAAATGTCATCAACGTGCCCAGTCGCTCACTGTGAATTCTCTGGACATTTTCCTGCTGTATTCTCACATGAGCTCACCCCGACATTCTGAGTGTTTTTCAATGGGATGGCAGTAGAAACTCTAGAGAATCATTAATAACTAGTTATTAATACATTTGATCAGAGAAACCACTGGCTGTGTTGCAGGTGATGGTGAGGGGTGGATGTTTCTTTAAGGCTCACGGCATCGAGGTCGCTTCAGGATATTATCATTGGAGCAGTTCCCCTGCACATACTGTATCCACAGGTGGTTTCTATTGTCTTTGAGGTATTTGCACGTTCCTGGGACCATTACACAGCTAATCACACAAGCAGAGGAGCAGAGGAACAGTCTAAAGAAACAGGATGAACAGTCACAACGCTGGGAATCTGGGAAATGTGAAAACAAAGCAACCCAACACTCGCTTTGGGTTGGGTTTCCAAATTTGAGGTCTTTTTCCAAGAAAAGGTTAAGCCAGGAAAAGAGATGAAATGAAAAGTAAGCAAGAGCAAAGAAAAAACAAAATGGGAGGAAATTACACCTCAACAAAACAAATTTTCAGACATGACCTCGGAGATTTGGCTAAGGCATTTCCCTGCAGATGGTCTTTCATACATGCACAACACAGCGGGAGGTTCTCTGCACAGACCATAGACTGTATATAAAGGCACAGACCAATCAAAACAGCAACAAATCCTCCATTATTCAAGCGAGAGGTGGAGCAGACAGAGGCAGGAAGCGACGTATCACATGATTTTGTTTAAATCGATCACCACAAACTCTATTGACATCTTAATCTGTGTCTTCTATGTGGATGATACCGCTTTTCAACCGGGAGATATTTGCTTTCTTTTTCTATTTTTCTTTTTATGTCTGTTGCGTGTTAGAAGTGTCAACAACCCCCCCCACTCGCTCGCTGTAAATCCAGCGGGGGATCCCCTGCTGTGTTCACACATCAACTTATCCTGGATTTCTACGGACTTTATACTAAAGGGGGTCAGGCAGAGGAGGTCCGTAGATACTGTGAAGCGTCTCAGTCGGACATTTGTGTTCACTCATGCACCTCCTCTGGAGAAAATATGGAGGAGCTGCAGAGTCCAGTGCATCTCTGAAAGCAGCTATGGCGAGTGGAAGACAGAAAATGCAGTAAATGAAAATAGATAATGAAAAACCGGTAGTGTGATGTGATGAAGCATCACAGATGGAGGGAAGAAGCAGGAAAGAGGGGATGAAAAGAAGGTGGCGCTGTGACTTGGGGCGGCACTGCTTTAATATTTACAGTCTGATGTTTAAACAGATACCTCTAGCCTCCATCTGGGATCCTGCAGTTTTGTTTACACAAAACTATTTGCGTCTGCGCTCCTGCAACCTCGACTTGTTTTGTACACAAGCACGTCCTTTACATAAATACACTCAGGAGCCATAAATGGTTGTTCTGCTCTGCAGCTGTTTCCCAAACAGTAAGGTGATGTAACAGCCCATTATAAAAGATCTAATAAATCAAAAAGTGAGCAATAATGATAAAGCTACAGGAAGACACCTCAAGGATTTTTCCCCACCAACCCAGAAAAGTGTTCAAGACTCTGATATGGAACATGAGACAGACAGGCAGGTCAGTGTCGTGTCCGAGCTGTCTTGGTGAAGACGGAGCTGAGCCACAAGGTAAAGCTTTCAATTTAGTGAACAAACTACATTCCGACCCACAGCTAAAAGTTAAAGGACAATAAAAAATCTGTCAAACTGCATTTTTAACATGCCACAAAATGTGCACAGATGATGACCAGGACTGGATCCTTCTTTCCCAGCAGAAGTTACAGAGCAATACAAATTCTATCAGGCTGCATTTTCAAGCTGCTACAATATGTGCACCCTAAACAAAGAAAAAAAAGTGCAGAGATGATGACCAACCATCAAGTGTCTGACTTTGTGAATATTTAATATCATATTCAGTAACTACAGTGAAGGTTACATAACTCTGGGTAGTGACCGAAAGAACAAGATTGAGAAAAAAAAGCAGTTGAGATGAATTTTCTCCCTCAGGTTACTAAGGTCAGCCTTAGAGACAGAGTAAAGAGTTTGGACACCCAGAGGGAGCTTGGATTAGAACAGCTGCTCCTTCACGCCCAAAGGGGACAGTTGAAGTGGTTCAGGCATCGAGTAAGTATGCCTCCTGGGAGCCTTTCTGTTAGAGGTTAACCGGGCCTGCCTAACTGGGAGGAACCCAGGTGCATAGACCCAAGATATCGCTGGAGGGACTACATATACCATGGCCCATCCCTGGCCTGGAGCACTCCTCCTGGGGGATCCAGGAGGGCGGACCATAAAGGTGTTGTTATGACTGGGTTATTACTGAGCTATAATGCCTCAATAAATGATTTAGTAACACTATGGATGACACACCATACAAACCTATGATAGATAGGAAGATACTCAAGACAAATAATGTAAAAGAATGAATCCTTTGCTTTTCCAGTAAACTTTTCCCTAAGCAGAAATACAGAGATTTTCAAACCATGTGGATGTAATTTTCCCACAATGCTGCTGTAAACACCTCTTTTTGTTAAATCCACCGCACCCACGGAAAGACTGCTGTGCTGCGAGATAACAAGGTTCCACGAGGCTTCTCATGATGAAACAGGTCTGTAAGGAATTTGCATTTCTTCTCTGAGCTCTCTGCCTGAAGTGGATCTTCAACACATCTTAGGTGTTTTGTCTCAGTAGATCATCTTCTGAATAAGAAACAGCCCAAACTGCTGCCAAAACTTTCAGGCACTTTGAATGAATGTGAGCGGCTCAATAATCCAGCAGAGGAAAGTTCATAGGTCAGCTCATCGATTCAACATACAAACACAGAGAGAAATCATTATACAACTCATCACTACTGTTTGTGTTCTGTTCGCTGCACTGAGGGTCACTGGAGCAAAGCAGTGAGAGGCTCTGTGAAAAATGAAATGCACTGATCAGTTAAAAATAGTTCCCTGGCCTTCCTCCATGCTTTTTGAGTCCAAGTGTTGTGTAATTTGTCTCAATGAGAATCCCAAGGTTCAACTGTGTTCTGTGGATGTCAATCACCCTTCAAAGACTTAATGTCTGTGTTTAATTTGTTTAATTTTAACTAAAGAAGAAGATTAAAGCATTGAAGCAATTACAGTTGGAAGTAAGGGGGAAAAAATTCTTGGTCTGTTGCGCAATTGCTTTCCACTTCCTCAAGATAACAATGTCCCAAAAATGCACCTGACCACACCTCATGTTAAGATCAACTCACCGATGGGTGCTTACCTGGGTACAAGTGCATTTGCTATTCAAACAATTTGGACACTGAATGGAAAAAAGATAACTGCATCAGTCTGGAACAAAGAGTTTTTGGCTCAGCTGTAACCTCATCCATAAGTTTTGGCTGAAGGGCCCCGAAATTCACAAAATGTCTTAGATAGATAGTCTTAAATAATGTAGATCCAATGTTGAGAGGTGGTGCCAAGACACACCTATCCCCCTTCCCTGCCTCCAGATGGCTGGAAACACTCAGTGGTTAGGAGCCATGTTCAAATGTAATAATGTAATATTAAAACCAGCATTTATGCATTTCATCAAAGAACAATCATTGATTTAGTTTAGCTCAAATGCAATTAAGTGTGCAGTATTCTTCCAATAATCAATCAATTCTATGACAAATAATTGACAAAATAATTCATTGTTTCTAATGCATCAAATATTCATTAGAGCAGCCATACACTATTCTTATTGGATAAAACCTTTGCACATAGAAAATGTTGAGGCACCTATTCTGCATTTGTATTTTGATGGATTGGATTGTCTGATATCTTCAGGGAAATTGAGGATAAACGGTCAATAGAGGGTCACATTACATGGAACATTGAGCAGAACACTTTATCTACTCTGTCAACAAATGCAGCCACATGGCCCTTGAGCTCTAGTCACTGAACGTGTAGCTGCTCTGTGGGAACTCGGCAGCAGACAGGACAGAATCTGTGTCACTGTGTAAAAGGTAAACAGGAGTTTAATGAGAAGAGCAAACATGGCAAGTCGTCCCTGAGCTGACGTCCTGCAGATTCACACGATGAAATGTATCCATCATGAAAATATACTGTATCTGTGATACAGCCAAGCCAAACAAAGAAATACAGTTCCATTGTTTCCTTTTATCCAGGTTTCATTCAGTTCTGAGCCCAGCGCTGCGCACGCAAATTTTTCTTGGCTGAATATTATGGGACTTAAAGAAAAGCAAGTGTCATTTCTCACATTTTAATGTCACACTGCTGCAGAAAACCTTTCAACACTGATCTGTCTATTCTCATTCCTGCACTTGGACATGGAATGTCCTTCATGTTGTGCAGCTGTTTGTGTGTGTGCCTGTGTTATTTCGCACTAGGAGCTATGAAATCCACTGGAAGCATATAATGTACTTTCACACCAGACAAAAAGAGCAAACAATCCTGGACAAGAGTGAGAGTTTCAGTATCAGAAAAACAATACTGTGATTAAATCAAAACAAAACAACAAAACAGGAAAATCATCTACCACTAGCTACAAAACTAAGAAACACTGTAGGGATTATTCCAGCTGCTGAAACAGATCATAGAAAGTATCCTACCATGGAGTGACCCACGATGAAGACAGGGAGGTCCGGGTGACGGGACTTCATCAGGTCGATGTGCTGCAGGGAGTCTCTGATGAAGACCTGGAAGTCTTTGATGATCATCCTGTCGCCTTCACTCTGACCATGACCAACTGAGGAGGAAATGAGATGTGAGAAAGCCTGCTGCTGCAGAATATTCCCCCACACTGTAATTTAATGATTTTAAAGCATCACTAGGTTGTTTTCATACCTTTAAATTACAGGTTCAAAATCATTTTGATGCTACTGAAACTTACAATAGGGAGAATGACATGTCCATCATTGCTCTATGTATCTTTGGTGTAACGTGCTGGAACATTACAACCTGCTGTGCAGCATATGTCACACACAAACAACCACAGCTATAGCTAGCTACAAGAAACAACTATCTCACAGAGGAGCCACAAAAGAAACCAAAGAAGACATTGTCAGAGGAAACAAACAAGAGGAAAAGAGAGGAAATGAACAAGAGTGAATATCGGAGCATATTTGTCACATTTGCAAGAAAAAGACATCGAGGGATATGGGACAGATTCCGAACTGATGTTGCAATTGGACAAGTATATCATAACATTTGCTTGTTTGCTAAAGTTGTCAACTTTAATTAGAGGTATAGCTGGGAAGTTAGCCAAACAGTGATCTATGCTGGGGAGGCTCAGACCACAACTGGCCAAGTATAGTGGAGAGTGAATCTTGCATCGTGTTGCTTTAATGTCTTTTTATTTAAAATAAATAACTAAAGAGGCTGTTGCATTGTTTCTCTTGTGCGTATGGGTTTCTATCTTTATATTGAATGAAAAGCATAAAGGACAAATGAAGGGAGCAATAAAGGTGAGGATTGAGAGGGGCGTAAGAAGGGGGAATAAGAAAATAGAGAGAGAAAGCAGCAATGAGAGTGAGAGTAAAAAAAAAAACGATGATGGAAGAGATGAGGAAGAAAGGAAGTGTTTACAGAGGATGAGGAGAAGCAATCTGGATGAGCGAGAGAGGAAGGGGATGAAGGAGAGAAAGAGGGAGAAGGGGAACAGGAAGAAGAGACAAGGCAGAAGAAAGAGTAAGAAAGTGAAAAGAAGTCAAATTGAAGGCAGGTGTGAAGGAGGAGAGAGAAAACAGGAGGAAGAAATGTGATGGATAGATGGAGAGGAGGAAAAACATGAATATGTATGAGATGTATGTGCATTTGCATAGACCTGTAATCTACGTGTGTTCTCCTCGAGCTCTCTGCAGCAGTGGCTGAGAGGTGAGGCTGGTTGCCACGGCAACCACTGAACCAACAGGAAATGAGAGCTTGAAAACGTTCACAACACGTTGTGCAGCTACCACAAGGGTTTGTGTGTTCGTGTGTTTGTGTGTGTGTTATTGATTTGACATGGGAGGGGATATACTGTGCATTGACGTGAACTTTGCAGCTCATATGAAAGTGTTTTTGATTTCTTGGTTATTGGATCAGCTGGATTTTATAGTTGATAATAAGCAAGAGAGTAAAACAGACTCATCAGTGTGTGAAAATCCAGTTTACTCCTGTTTTCTGCTATGAGATCAGTTGTTCATGCTAAATACATACATGTGGGGTTGATATCAAACATTCATACCATTACAGTTTGATCAGGAACTCTATTCTACCAGGAATCTATTGTTGTTGTTGTGATTATCAAATATTGGCGACAATGTGATTAACGATGTCCCCTCACAGCAAAATAGTTTGAATCCCGGGTTCAGCCTGGGTCTTTCTGCTTGCATGTTCAACCTGTGTCTGCGAAAGATTTCTCCAGGTACTCCAGCTTCCATAGGTGTGAATGTGAGTGTGTATGGTATGTTGGCACTAAGATATGGTGGAGACCTTCAAATCAGACCCATCAAATGGATGGATATATTATAATTCTGTTGCTGCACAGCAAAACGTTCCCAGTTTGAATCCCACAGACAGACAAGGGTCAAAACAATACCATGCAGTGTAACAAACATACATTAACATTATTCCTGACAAATGAGCTCCAGGGAAAGCTTCTCCAAGTGCTGATATGATTACATTTCAGGATTCCATTCATTTGTGCATCACCAGGTCACATTTGGCTGATACCGTCTCAAACACATCCACAATGATCATTTCCCCACTGTCTGATAATAAATTGGATTTCAATAAAAGAAAACCACACATTCATCACCATGCATACATCATTCTACAAAATGGAAAATGATTTGTGTATGTCAGCTCTACAATTAGAGTTTTTTAGTGGGAGATGGGAGAAACCTCCAGTCTTTGCAGGCTGTGAATGAAAAAGACCTCAATGTCCTATAATTAGAAGGAAATAGATGTGAGACAAGAGAAAGTGTGATGTGGGAGGAATGAGTTAAAGATCTTGACTGCTGAACTCTATCTGGAGCTGCCCCGGGCAGCGGTGTGTGTGTGTGTGTGTGTGTGTGTGTGTGTGTGTGTGTGTGTGTGTCTCAGGGAGATAGATAAGGGACTACTGTGTACAGGGACTTGTTCCAGTTCAGTACTTTCCATTTAACAGTGTGACATTTCACTGCGAGTCGCTGAACAAATTGCTCCTCTGTGTGCAGCCTCAGTCGTCCTCATCATTCACTCCCTGTTTTATTATCTCAGCCAGCTTTTCAATGAGATCTCTACCTCTGCAAATATTCCCACATCTTCTAGCTGCGGCTTCGTTTTTTTGGATTTCTCATCCTGTCTCTCTCCCTCCCTCTCGTCTTGATGATCTGTGTTAGTGAACATGTGTGCTGCTCTTTTCCAGCAGGGCACTGCAGCACAGTCACATGAGTTCACACATCCCTGTTGTATCTAAAACCTACCAGTAGTACAACAGCAGAACCTCGACTCTGAGCTTCACTGGCACGTCTTTTCTACTCACCCAACAGTTTTGTGTTATGCCTCTGTGTCCCCCTTCTGTTTCTTCCCAGCCTTTTTTCATCAGCACATTTCTAATTTTCTGACCACAGCGAACATAATATTGGGAAAACAAATGAAAAAACACAAGCAGGTTTTCTTTACATCAGCAAAAACACAAATCACATTTCTCTGTTTGAATAACAGATTACGGCTGCATCCATAATTCTACGTTATCGTTTTAACGCTCAAACTAAAAGGATCTCAGTCAGCACGAGCATTTTGGATCCGTATAAGTTTTAATCCCTGTCCATACTAACACACATGAACTCATGTCACATGACCACTCACATACACACACACACTCACACACACACACACACACACACANCACACACACACACACACACACACACACACACACACACACACACACACACACACACACACACACACACACACACTGGGCAAGTGCATGCAGGTGTAAACAGCAAGTATACGCCGGTGTCAGTGTGCACTAAACAAAATCGCATGATCTCTGCAGTGGAATTAAAACATTACATTCTGCTTCTGCATGCTAGACCCAGACGCCACACCTTGCAAGCTCCATACACGTCTGTGTTGTTGTGCAGGTGTCTGAGCGGAGTATCTCTTGCTGCGTTCTTCATATGAGAAAAGCAATGTCAATGACCCCAATGTCCGGGCATTTCATTGTCTGAAGAGGGTCAAAGATTAGGATCCCCGAAGTGACCATGAGTGGGTTTTTTCCAGTTATTGAGGAAATATCTCAGCAGACAGAACATCTGACTGACAGTCCATTATTAACATGGACAAGGCCAATATTGCAAACTTTTCATGGTAAGAAAAGACGCTTGTAATATAGAGATCTTGGGCTTGATCTGATGTGTGAGACAAACCTTCCGAGACACTGCAGGACACTAATCACACTTATCTGACCTTCAACGACACAATTACATATGTGGCTGGTGTTTCTAGCCTGAGCTCAGAACCAGTTCATCCAGTACTTTCACTGAAACCTGAACAGAGCCCGACGTTCCATTCAAACAGGACAAACCAACTTTATCCTCACTTTTTCAAAGCACACCACCTACACACTTACACACAGAGGAGCTGCAGCAGAACAATGTGCCACCAACACTAATTAATTTTAGTCTGACAGTCTTAGTTCACTCGACAATCACTGAGGACTGTTATCAGACAGAGAGGGGATGATGGGTTTTCATTCTCTCTTTGTGCACAAGCTATTTAGCACGTGAACCCCTGATGACTATACGAGAGCAGCCATGGGTGTAGGTGTAAATGTATGCATGAATTAATGTGATGCAAGGTGTTTGACTCACCGTGGTCGTGTGCAAACACCAGCAGGGACAGTTTCTTCAGTCTCTGTGCGATCTCATCATACGGCCCACAGTGCTCTGCGGCTCCGTGGGCAATAAACACCAGAGCCCTGAGAGGAAAAGAAGACGGGGTGGAGAAAATGTTTATTCACAATATCATAAATGCATATTCACCTTCATTTGACTTCTTTATCTCAAACAAAAAGTCCTGCATAAGAGTGTCGTGCTTTGCTGCCTTCATTTGCTAATAAAGTCCTGTGTTGGTAAAAGACAGATTAAGATGGGATGATAGAAGAAAAAGTTCATTTAAAGATTGATAGACAAAGACAGAGACTGAGAGCGGGACAGGCTGTGTTTTCAGAGAGCAGCTTTCATCCATCTGTCTGCTCCAACACAAGCCTGCCTGCCCGACTTAAAACACACACTGAGGGAATCCAGTAAAAACCCAATGTGACCCACACATACAGAGAAAACAGCCAAGACACCCCTGCACTCCTTATTCTCTTTATTTATATCTCTGGGAGTTTGGTTTGATGAGAGGATCCATTTAAATGTGCAAAATTTATGGTATGCAGATATTTCTTCAGGGCAGCAGATTCACAGGCTAAGTTTCCATCCAGGTTCTTTTAAAGGGGATTTATAACGTATTCTAAAAAGGAAAGCTGTGCGGAAACAAGCAATTGCGGTCCAAAGGTTTTTTGTTGACATTATGCAGTAACATTTTCATAGGTAAACAACGTTGTGTAAAAATCATGTTTATCTGTTTTTTAGGGGACTTATATATCCTGATATAAAGTTCTTACATTCAGCTGGCTGATTTCTCTTTATCTTGACTCTGCTCATAGAGATGTCCTCTGTACTTCACTATCCCTCCTCTGAGGCTAAGCTGTGCCAAAGCAAAGCAAAGCCAAATTGTCGTTCAAAGAGGTTTTTCACAGTTTATGCAGACCTGTGAAATTCATTTGGATGTTTAAACATGATTTTATCATATGTTTTTAATGGATTATAATGTGCCCTTTATGAGTCAATATTATCTATGGTGACTTGTGCATTAAGATAAAACTAGAGCCAATCCCAGCTGACATTGGGCAAGACAAACAACCATTCGCATTATTCACATCCATGATCAATTGAGGCTATATACCCACTAGTTTAAAAACACCATTGTCAAACTAAAATGACTACGTGAGCGCTTTGGCTTCTTATCAGTTTTAATCCCCATCCATACGAAGATCAAACATCTCTGTTCCTGCCCACGCAGACTGAAACGCTGCCCTAGAGTTTTCAAACAAACGGAGTCAGCAACGTTTTCCAACTTCTCCCATTACGCATCTCTAAAACTTTGGAGTGGTGTGTATGGCAGACATATCCACAGCAGAGTTTTCAAAAGAAAACATATCACATTGGATGTAGCTTTAATCTGCATCCTGCAGTGTGAGTGCAGACACAAGGGAGAACATGCAAACTCCACAGAAAGAGGCCATCTACACATTACATAACAATACCTAAGCTTGTTTAGTGCAATGTTTAGGAAACTGTGCACAGCTTCTTTGTGCCTTATTCAAACACAGGATGTGTGTCAATGTTCTATGATATGCAATACTGGAAATCACATTTTTAATCGCTGATATCAAAGAGCTCTTGTGATTATGGACAACTCTGTCTTTGTCTGCAGTGACTGTAAGGCATCTCAATGTAATTAGTGATTTATCAAACATGCTCTTAGGCCAAAACAAATGCTGATAGTCCAACACAAGCTGTTCTCATGACAGTATTGTGTAACAACATAATACTTTATTTCACTTAATCAATCAATTTCAGAGATGATGATAACAAACAGAAGTGGTTAAGGAGGAATGGTGTAAAGTATCGTCTTCAAAATAGAAGATCTTTACCTTAGCTCTAAGACCAGAGTTTTTCTCAAGATTTTACTTGTTCTGTCAGAGCGTATTGTGCAGCGGAGCAGCTCTGAAATGCTCCGGTGTTGTTTTCTCTCATTAGCAGCCATGCTGAGGAGCCTGTGAGAGCTTCAATCAGCAGAAGCACACAATTAGTCCAAATGTATTCAGCGAGAGAGAAGAAGGGAAACAGGGTGAGAGAGTGAGTGAGAGAGAGCGAGGTAGGATGGTGCTGTATGGTGGTGGAGGGGGGGCAGCATAAGAGTAGCTGTTCATCAGGCTTCATTAGCAACTGGATTCACGTTCACTGCTGCTTTTTCCCTCCTTTTAGAAAGCCACGCTGTGGGCTAAGTTTGTGTGTGTGTGTGTGAAAGAGAATCCTTGTACATCTGCATTTTTTTCAGACCTTGAAGGATTTTACTGTGGTCTGATCTACATCCCTTCAGCTGCAGGCATCTGCAGACAAGTTACAGCATTTAGGACTCAGCAGTATGTTGGCTCAGCGCGGCACTCTCTGCTAAGAGAGGTCTGCTGAGAGGTCTGATGAGACTCAACAGGCATTTGCTTGGAACAAGTGTTACCTCAATACTCCGTGTCGTCATACTTTCTTAGAGGACGGCAGATTTGAGAAATTCACAACTCCTATGTTAAAAGACATCATAATTTTTCAAATAAAATGTGTACATAAATGCATTTCTGCATTATTCTGTAAAATAGGAGTTTTCATATCATTGCTTATCGGCAAACATAAACACTGATACTAACATGTCTGCTAAAGGCCAAATCAGAAGATTTTTATTGGCCAACTGATGAGTTGATCCATCCCTCATATGAATTAATTCTAACACGTTTCAGAAATGTAAGGAGGCTGAGAGTGACATCATCATCAACACGACTCCCCATACTCTCATGACTAGTCTTGTTAGAGGTTATGTTCATTATTGTGTATGAAGCAGAAGGATTTTTGATCTTCCAGGTAAATTAGGCTTTTTTCATTTTTCTTTCTCATGATCTCTCTTCATCCTCTCATGGGAACTGGAGACCCACTCGTCTCCCACACTGTTTCAGCTGCTGGAACAACAAGCCTTATTAAAACACTCAGTGAGCAGTAGTGAGAGTTTAGTCCTCCCTCTGGCCTTACTCACAGCTACTCCAAACAAACAGGCCCAAATCAAAGCCAATACCCTAATACCCTCCATGCAATGCTGACTCACAAACCTCCTATGCTCAAATGCCACATTCTGCACATTCAACTGTGAAACTGACAAGGAGAGATTCAAATCTTTTTGATTGCCTGCAGAAAACAAAATATGTGCTGCCAAAACTGTTTCATTCAGGACATTATTTGTTGTTGATCACCTGATTTACAGGTCAATAATTGACACTTTCCACTGCAGACATTTTCACATGTCACAGTGAGAAAAACCTTATCATTAACACTGGCTGGATTCCATTTAGCTGCTTCATTTTATGGTCCAGGTATTGTTCATGCTGACTCTCATGCCTGACTGAGATCACTTGAATGTTACAGTCAGCATAGTAACGCCTGAACATTTGCGACAGTGAGGTGCAGGTGTCTGACCACATTCACTCTGTTAAGTTGCAGCTGTTTAGGCAGGACAAGCTTTAATCCGACAGAGTAACTAAAAAAACCTGTGAAAGTGTGCACAGTGTGCAAGCCTTTATATGAACTCCTGCGGTGCAGACCAGATCTATGTAGATATCTAAGGCCCCATACACACCTGGTATCAACATGTGGTTTTTGTGATACTAGTGGACAGCTCTGAGTGTGTGTGTGTGTGTGTGTGTGTGTGTGTGTGTGTGTGTCGGCACGAGTGAGCGGAAAAAATGTAGATAGACGAGTCAGGAGAGTCTGAATGAGTCTCGTTCTGTGAAAAAAGATTTTACCAATTTAAGTAGAGTATCGATCATTATGTAGTGATCAGTGTTGAAGGATTGGACATGGACCAAGGAAGAAGAAGAAAATTCATTGAATTTTGGAGCAGATCCCCACAACGTCGCAGATCAGGGCATTTTTTCACATTTTCTCTAATTTCCCAGGAATAAATTCATGGATCTTAATGAAAGAAATCCTGCATGTTAGGGGGAGTGTGTGGTTTAAGTGGTTTTAAATGTGGTTTAATAAGGGGACCGTTGGGCCTTGGGATTTTGCTGCTCTGGCCTTATATAAACATATTATAGAGCTAAATGAACAGTGGAGCGTTCAGTTTCCATGTGTCCAGACTTGGCAGGAGCCAGAGGACGAGAAAGAAAGAGCGAGCACTGGCATGTTAATCTGATTAATGGATTTAGACACTGTGTGTGTGTGTGTGTGTGTGTGTGTGTGTGTATGTGAGGGAAATTTATGGGGACAAAAAGGACCCACCTACAATGTAATCCATTAAATTTGAAGTTTTCATAGGCTACTTTGGGGACATATTTCAGACTAAAGACTTTGTGATGTATTATGGACTGCAGAGCTGTTCTGTATTACAGGACTTTGAAATAGGGCATGAAGCACAAATACTGCATTGAAATTGTATTCTGCTTAATTAGAGATATTGGAATATTGTGTAAGACGCCTTCAGTCTTTATAAGAAGCTATGAGTTATCTGGTGACGAGAGGACTTATAGATTTAACAGAGAAGAACAATGTGGCAGGTGGAAAACAAGTCTGAGAGAGGGATGAAGTGTGAAAAACGAGAATGAAAACGAAAGCCAGAAATGAGGAAGTTATAAAAGAATGTGTGTTTGTGTGTGTGTGTGTGTGTGTGTGTGTTGCACAGACAAAAAATAACACATGAGAGACGGAGGATATTGCCATCTGATGAAAACAAATAGAGGCTGAGAGACAGCAGGGAGGTTTACAGTGGAAATGAAAGGGACACCAAAGAGATACTGAACAGTCAGAGGATTCATGACTCAGTTGAAATGAAATATAGGGGAAAACGACAGAAGAGGTCAAAAGGCCACAATGGAGTTCATTGAATTTCATAACCCCACTTAGAATGAAGGGGTAGACAAAAACTCTTGAACGCTTTATGAATGGACAAACCGATTCAACAATGGGAACGCTGCGGGTAAAATGCTCATAAATTAGTATGAAATCTTGCAAATAACCATGACATTTATTCAATCCAGCAGCAGTTGAGGTAATTCATATCTAGGGCTAGAGCCAAGGGAGAGGAATGGGACAGGGCATTATGCCTGAT